CTCTTTCTTCTTCTTCTTCTTCTTCTTCTTCTTCTTCTTCTTCTTCTTCTTCTTCTTCTTCCCCCTCCTCCTCTCTTCTTCTTTTGCAATCCAAATCCTCATGTCAACGTTTTCCCTCTCCATGTTTTTCCTATTGTTTATCATCTGCCTTTAAAAGAAATGGTTTTGCACAAATGGTTGTGGTTTTTTTTTTTTTTAAAGAAAATCCTTGCTTATTTTGGAAAGGCCTAAACCACTAACTCTTCGTTGGACTATTTTATTCTATCATGCCAGAGCCTCCTTAAATGTGGTGATGGTGGCGGGTGTTGGGTTAGCTTGGAGAAATAGATAAGCTTGCTTTTGGGGAAGCTTTTACAGCAAGTATACTGTTACAGGAAATTTCTTTGGAATAAAGAAATGAAACAAAGCATCATGTACTTAATAAAGCGAATTAGTAGAAAAGAGGCTCTTAGGACGGATTTGTTTATTTCTAAGGCGGAGAGCTGTTTGCAAGGAAGTCAGTGTTTAGTTAACTCAAACCAGGGTCATTCTCCTGAACTATCAGGAATTCAAACATTTTTACCACATTTGGGGCTGTAGTAAAAATGTACACATTACTGGGCTTTTCCCTTCCCTTCCCTCCCCTCCAGAGTCCTGTTATCCCTTCCTGCTAAAATCTAACATTTTCGTAGAACAGAACCATAGAACCAAGCCTCTGTGGAACAAGAGCTGGTTTTTTTTCTTCCATAATTGTAGGATCTCCTTAACTTCTGAATTTTCCTGCTTCAACTCAGCTTCTCTGGGTCTTGCTCCAGCTTTTTCCCACAGCTCTGGGTGACAGGTAGCCCTCAGTTCACGTCCATATTTGAATCCAACGTTTATGTTACAATAACAGAGTCAGAAGGGGCCTTGGAGGTCTTCTAGTCCAGCCCGCTGCTTAGGCAGGGAATCCTACACCGTTTCAGACAAATGGTTGTCCAATCTCTTCTTTGAAAACTTCCAGTGTTGGAGCATTTACAACTTCTGGAGGCCAGTTGTTCCACTGGTTAATTGTTCTCACTGTCAGGAAATTTCTTCTTAGTTCTAAGTTCTTGTCCTGCCCTCAGATGCTTTGGAGAATAGCTTGACTCCTCCTTCTTTTTTGCAGCCCCTGAGATATTGGAACATTAGCAGGGTACCCATGCTTCGCTATGAAACTATGTGATTGGGCAAGTTTTGGGGGGAGGAAAATAAGGGGGGAATATCTGCCTCTGCCTACCAGCATCCATAGCTATCCCCCTGGCTAGCATCCTGTCAGAGTGTGAGTGTTGAGGACTGTTTGGAAGCTGAAACAGTATTTGATGTGAGCAAGAAGGAGACAACAAGGATCCTGGGCGTGGCTTATTGGAAGAGATTTCTTTTCAGGTGGGGAGGAGGATCCTTAGCATCAGAGCGTGTTAATAATAGTATATGAAATCCTAATGCTCTGATGGTCATTTCGAAAAATTCTTTCTTAGTGAGCACCTAGAAGCCAAGAGGAACATACATGCTAAATTTTAAGTTTGTAGGCTTTATGGTTCTGGAGATTTTGCGATGATGCGTGAGGGGTATTTCGCTTTTATATAGAGAGATTTAGTTTCCTAGTGTGATTGGATTGCCTATTTAATATCCCATGACTATCACTAAAAGTGTTGTATCTTATGATTCATGATTAATGTATTTATGATTATGATCATGATTTTCACTTATCTTTTATGTATGCTGAGAGCTTATGCACCGAAGACAAATTCCTTGTTTATCCAATCACTTGACTAATAAAGAATCTATTCTATTCTATTCTATTCTATTCTATTCTATTCTATTCTATTCTATTCTATTCTACTCTACTCTACTCTACTCTACTCTACTCTACTCTACTCTAGTTTAAGAGATTGCTATTTCTATTCTATTCCATATTCCATTCCATAATCTATTCTATTCCATATTTTATTTTATTCTTCTGTTCTAAGTTCTATTTCTATTCTATTCATTGCAGGGGGCAGGAAAACTGAGCCTTTTTCATTGTTCATAAAGAGGTCCTGAATGAGCAAGTAAGGAAGTTGGACTCTGGAAGAATGTAAATGATTCTTCTACCCAGAGAAATCAAGTCATAGTTATTCTCCCAACTTCTGTTTTCTTTCAATAACAAGCTTTTAATGGGGGTTGAATGCTACACTTCCCATCGGAAGCAACATCCAGTTTGATAGTTTTTTTTTTTCTTCCAATTGGGGGATTTGTTTCACCAACTCTGCAAGAGTGCTTAAGGTGACCAAAACGGGGATATGTTATGCCGAAGTGGGATTTTAAAAGTCTTATAATAAATCATTCTTGGTGATTCCTAAAGGCTGTGACTCGATTCTGTTTGGACAGGTGGAAAAAAAAAAAGGTTCATCTCAACCAGGTTTAAAATCAGGTCCATCACCCCTGAGGTGATGTTTCCCACAAGCAGAAAACTCACCCTGCGAGACATCAAATGAAAGAACCCAACATTGCTGAGTGGAATGTGTGATATTCTTTATTTCAGCAAATTCAGGAGTTGAGAGGATTGATGTTTTGTAGGAACATGTGAACTGTAGACAGGAGAAAAACCTGTGTCTGAAACAGTGAATGTTAATAGAAGAAACTTGGGAGATTCAGGCTCTGTCTTCTAAGAGGGTCTGTTCTTAAAAAAAAAAAAATTAAAAACTCTAAATTTATCTTTCTAACTCTGCTTGAGCCAACATTTGGTGCTTTGAGAAAGTGCCAGCAAAATCTTCTTTCTTTCTTGCATTCTCTGAAGCGTGTTTGCAGAAAGATAATGTGCCTCGGATATGAGTCCTTCAGAAGGGGAAATCCGGGGGCCGTAACTATGTGGGGTATGTTGCAGCCATGTTCCCAAAAGGTTTATCTCACGGGTGGTCCTGCTTTGCACGCTGTCCTGGTTTGTAGCAGTCTTAAAGTATTAAGAAGGGTTAGAGGCCTTGGGGTCTGCTTTGAATGTCATTTTCCTTGCA